TGTTGACTCCCCGACCATAGTGCCCTTGGGGGAACATATGGGGAAAGGCGGTCCCTTAGGTAAGCCGCACCCTGGCCATAGTTCTTATGCTTGAGCACCTTGATGAACGGGGTGCGGGTGGGGGGGAATCTGCACTGTTGCTCTTCGTTTTTCATGCCCACTGCAAGTCTTCTCTGGAATTAGTACAAATGCATTATGTTTATCCGTCGCTTTCTTGTCTCCCCCCCCCCCCCCAGGAAATAATGCAATTTCATTGGGAGAGTTAGCCTTTTGAGGGGGCTGCTTAAATAAATAAGACCGTGATTTTGTTGTAATGTCTTGGATTGTGATTTAAAGCAAACGTGCCGATCAGTCCACTGGCTCTTTGTGAGGCCTTAACTACCTGCCCAACCAGTCCTTTCAGAGGATTTAATGGTCAGCCATTTTTTACCTGGACTCAGGTGTTTACGAAACGACATGGAAACTCTCTCACCAGAACATGAAGTAAGTAATCGGACCTGCTGTTTTCTGCTTGGGGTTTGGGTGCTAAAATAAACTAGATGATTTACCCTTCGCCTTTGAACAGTCAGCATTAAAATGTCATGTTTTAACCTGTTAAGAGTGCCAGTGCTGAATTGGAGCTCAAGGGTGTTGGGGACACTGTTGGAAGAACGAAAGCGATCGCTGCGCCTCAGCGAATGCGTGTGCTGCATTTTAAGAAGGCTCCCTGACCTGGGTAGCCCAGGCCAGCCTGATCACGTCAGATCTTGGAAACGAAGCAGAGTCGGCCCTGGGCCTAGTATTTGGGTGGGAGACCACTGAGGGATATCTGGGTGGCTTTGCAGAGGCAGGCCATGGCAAACCACCTCTGCTAGTCTCTTGCCTTGGAAATAGTCTTGCCAAGTCCCCCAGGGGGGCAGGGAAAACCCCTCCCCAGAGGCCCGTTCCCCACCGCTGCCAGATTGGGCCCCGGGGGGAGCTCCACCCCGACGTGCACGTCACCAGGACGTTTTCCCTCAGATGGTTTTCCCTCAGATGGTCATGGCCCCACCCCCAGCATGCCCTGCATGATCGCGTCACTTCCGTGTGACGTGGATGCGGCACACGCTCCGGGAGCGGCCCGGGACTCCCCCGCTCCGGATCGAGGTAATACTTGGCAACCCTACTTGATAACCCTGTGAGGGGAGGGTCATCATGAGTTGGCTGTGACTTGATGGCAAAAAAAGAATCAAGGAAGTACAAGACTTACGTTATGAGAAGTAGATCAAATAAAGGTCCAGTCTAGACCGGTGTTCTGTCTCCAAGGGCAGCCAGCCAATGAGTAAAAAAATCTGAAGATACGTAAACCTGAGATGATCAGTTCCACCGTTTCTCCCCCCATCTTGAAGCCCATTTCTCCAAGAGTTTCTCTCTGTGTTTCCTTTCACACCCATTCCATTTAATAAACGTCCTCACTCCTTGATAAAGTAATCTTGTTTTTAAATGTAAAAGAAATCTGTTTTTGCGGGGGGGGGGAATCGACAGGAGGATCTCTTTTTTTTTAAGGTTGAGGAATTTCAAATACTGCCTGTTTTTTATTTGCTTTTAATATAATTGTATTGGTTTTTCAAACAAAAACCAAAGAACCAACCACCAGCGCCCATGACAACCAAACAAAGAAAAGAAAAATCTTCTAAAGTACAAACATAGAAACGAACGTTTCAGTTTTACTTTTAACTCTCAGTTGATAGCGTCAGTTTCTCATGGGGTTTTTGTAACTTCCCTCATTTATTTCAGTTATTATGTAACATTTCCAATTCATTCTCAATTTTAAGTCTCCTGAAGTGTTCTCAGAGTAAAATAAATCTAAAAAAAAAACAGCAGGTGTGTTCAATCCTCTAAAACCAAGCCACGCTGGCTTGGCCTCTGCGCGACCTGTGCTGAGCACTAATCTATCTGTGATAATGGAAACTGGGGTGGGGAGGGGGGTGCCTGAAAAGGCTGCCTGACCTCTGTGCCCCTGTCTGTGAGTTTGTCTGCATAAATGTGTGTGAGGGCTGGTCATTCGTGTGCGCACACGCATGTGTGTCTGCTCATTTCTATTTATAGTTGTTGCCCGTAAGTCAGTTTCAAATATTGTGGTATTCTCTCTGGATATTTTTTTTTTTTAAGTTCCAAAGCCCCTGCTGTGGGTGGGTCATCTCTGTTGCAGCCAGGAGGGAGGAGGAGACCATGCAGCAGTGATGGAGATGCCCACATCACAACAATGTTGAAGGGTTTAAGTACGTGGAGTTCTTCGGTCCTATCAGGAGTTGAAGGGTTTCGTATCTGAACCATGGATGATTTTTTCATTTTTAGCTGCTTGCAAAACAGTTCCTTGATGTCAGTAATTACTTGTGTAAAGATGGCTTGCTGCACTGCTCATTTAGACAGCTTCTCCTTATTTGCCCGGCCCGACCTCTGGGAGAGATAACATTCCAGTCATTTACAACTACCTGCTTGTTAGTAGGGGAGAGGTTGGCAAGCAACCACTGAAGCGACTGGAAATAAGAGAAGCACGTTAGTCGATTCTGAAAGCATTCCCCATCTGAGGGTTTTTCCCCCCTGCAGAACACGTAACAGTCAGGATCTGGAAAGACCGTCCCACTTCCGTAACAGGATGTAGGGTTGCCAGCCTCCAGGTGGGGACTGTAGTTCATCTGGAATCACAGTTCATCTTCCAGACTGCAGAGATCGGTCCCTGTGGGGGAGAGGGCAGTTTAAGAGGAAAGGCCGTGTGCGGCGTAACATCCCAGCTGAGCTTCTTCCCCAGACTCCACCCCCAATCTGGGCTCTTTTTGTAGCAGGAGCTCCTTTGCATATTAGGTGACACACCCCTAATGTAGCCAATCCTCCAGGAGCTTACAGAGCTCTTCTTACAGGGGCTACTGTAAGCTCTTCCAGGATTGGCTATATTAGGGGTGTGTCGCCTAATATGCAAAGGAGCTCCTGCTACATTGCCAATCCTCCAGGAGCTTACAGAGCTCTTCTTACAGGGGCTACTGTAAGCTCTTCCAGGATTGGCTACATTAGGGGTGTGTTACCTAACATGCAAAGGAGCTCCTGCTACAAAAAGAGCCCCCCAAGCCAGAGTTGGCAACCTACAGAGTAGCAAGTTTCTGTCTTCGGTGTCCTCCTGCTGGCTTGATGAACGTTGTAGTTTTTATACTTGTGTATTTAGAAATAGAAAAGAGCCATCAATACTTTTTTTAAAAAGACAAATAATTCCACTAGGGGCCGGTGTCTTGTTAATCTGCTCAGTAAATAGTCCTTTGAAGAGTAACAAGAGAAATCCAGTGTGGGTGTGCGCGTGTGTGTGTATCTTGCAGGCTTTGTTCCAGTGAACATAAGAGACGTCAATGTTGGATCAGGCCAGTGGCCCATCCAGTCCAACACCCTCTGTGTCACACAGTGGCCAGAAATACCAGGTGCCATCAGGAGGTCCACCAGTCGGGCCAGGACATTAGAAGCCCTCCCACTGTTGACCCCCCCAAGCACCAAGATGACAGAGCATCACTTGCCCCAGAGCCCCTATCTATACCTTGTGGCTAATAGCCACTGATGGACCTCTGCTCCATATGCTTATCTAATTCCCTTTTGAAGCTTGTAGCCGCCACCACTTCCTGTGGCAGTGGAGTTGTATGGTAGGGGCCAGCGTGTCTGAGGGACTCACAGTTTGCAAAGAGACAACGAAGGGGAACCGTGACTAATTCATTGTACTCCTCCATACTGAGTCACGTGAGCTCCGTTTTCCAGTAGATCAGTGGGTTCCACTTAGCAGCAGAGAAATTCAATAGCACTTCCCATTTTCCTTCTGCTTTGGTAAACGTGAAGCGGCTATGAATGAAGCGTCTGGATTTTGTAAGAAATATTCTCAACTTCTGCATATATTTCTAGCATTCTAATGAAATGCGCAGGGCTGTGGTTGACTCTTGCCTGCGTGAGGCATTACAGATAGAGTGTCATAGAATCACAGTTGGAAGGGGCCATCTAGTCCCCCAACCGTTCAAGGCAGGATCAGCCTATAGCAGGGGTGTCAAAGTTATGGCCCAGGAGCCACAAGCCGCCCCTCCTATGGCTTTAATCAGGCCCACTTCTCTCTTCTTCCCCCTCTCCTGTCCTCACCCTTTGAAGCTTAAGGCTGCCAAAGTTCCCAGGTCCCTCTGCCTTGTCTCTGCTGCTTTCCAGGAGGAAGCTCTTCTGGTCTGGCAAAGTTACAAAGGACATACGGAATGGATTTTTCCATTAAGGTCTCTGCACCCAGATAGACTATTTTGGGACTGTTTCCAACAATAGAAACAGTGCTGTGGGACTGGAATGACAGGGCGCAGAGTGGAATGACAGCCTTTGGGGGTAGCAGCAGCATTCTGGGAATGGAATTCCACTCTGGGGGCTCTCATTCCAATCCCAGAACACTTCCGTTACTCCCAGGGACTGTCATTTCACTCTGGTGGCTGTCATTCCAGTCCCAGAGTAGTCTATCTGGGCCCAGAGACCTTAATGGGAAATCCATTCCACATTTTCTTTGCAACTTTGTGCTGCAGTGTGTTTCAATGGAGCGGAGCTCAAGTAGTTTCGCTTTCCAGTGTATGTGTAGCTGAAGCAGCTGTTTGAAGGAGTTGTCTCCTTGCAAATACAGGGTTAATGTTTTGAGCCAGCTTGTCTCTGCTGAATGGACCTGAAAACAGGTGTGTGAATGGGTACTCTAACCTGGGACCCCACAGGCAAAGGGGGACATGATATTGGAGAGCCACTCTGCCACTCTGAGTAGACCTGGGGATGGGAGGGGGAGAAGCTTTAAATGCCCAGCCGTTTTATGTTCCTAAGCTCAGTGCATTTTATATTTTTAGTTTCTGCTGTGGTCCTTGTGCTTTTTCTTGATGTTTTATTTTTAAAATTGCATTGCCAAACCCCACTGTTCGTTCACCTTTCCACTTTAGGCAGGCATCTTTTGGGGGCGGGGGGAAGGTTTGGGAGGTTTCAGTGATCAAAGATTGTTAAATAAACAAAAGGTCGCAAGAGTTTTAAGCATATTTGTATTTTAAGTAAAAAAAAAAGAATATCTTTAGTTGTGTTTGTATCTTTTATAACTTTTATATCTCTGCTACCTGGGATTCCGTTTTATGACACGCATGGCCTGGCCCCACAAAGTCCCATTTATATCAGATCCAGCCCGTGACACAAATTAGTTCCAACATCCCTGGCCTAGAGCATCCCGGACAAGCGTTTATCCAGCCACTGCTTAAAGACTGCCGGGGAGGGAGAGCTCACCCACCTCCCTAGGTAGCTGATTCCACTGTTGAACTACTTTTACTGTGAAAAAGTTTTTCCTCATATCCAGCTGGTACTTTCCCACCCTTAATTTAAACCCACTATTGTGAGTCATAAGAACATAAGAGAAGCCAATGCTGGGTCAGGCCAATGGCCCATGCAGTCCAACACTCTGTCACACAGTGGCCAAAAATACCAGGTGCTATCAGGAGGTCCACCAGTGGGGCCCTCCACTTCTGCTGCCACTTCTGCTGCTACCTCTACTGCACACAGGAATAGCTCCCTGCCCTCCTCTAAGTGACAGCCCTCCAAATATTCCTCTAAGTGACAGCCCTTCAAATACTTAAAGAGAGCAATCCTATCCCCCCTCAACCTGCTCTTCTCCAGACTGAACATTCCCAAATCCCTCGGCCTTTCCTCACAGGGCTTGGTCTCTAGGCCCCTGATCATCCTCATTGCTCTCCTCTGCACCCGCTCCATTCTGTCCACATCCTTTTTGAAGTGAGGCCTCCAGAGGCCTGACAACCAGCAGGAGACTGGGGGTGGGGTATGGAGAGTGGCCATCCGTAACAGCATGACATCACACCTTTCTAGGAATCAATGGGAACTCTGTGGTAAAACCATAGAGTTTCCAGCAATTCCTAGAGACGAATGGTGTCAGTTCTGAATTTTCCCCGGAAGTGACATTACGCTATAGGCCTGGAAGCCTTGTTTTATTCTGTTCCTGCCACTGCTCTGAGCTGTGGCAGGTAATGGTTAGCTGGGGTCAGAGGATCCCCTACCCCCATCATGGTACTGGCAACCAGTGTTCCCTCTAAGCTGAGTTAGTGTGAGCTAGCTCACAGTTTTTTAACCTCTGGCTCACACATTTTTGTCTTAGCTCAGGAAGGATGGCTCCAGAACAAACTTAATTTATGCAGCAGCCAAATCTCCTGCTCACAACTTTAATGCCAATAGCTCACAAAGTAGAAATTTTGCTCACAGGGCTCCATAGCTTAGAGGGAACATTGCTGGCAACCCTAATCATAGATCAAAAATCAGACACTTAATGTGGCAGTTATCCTGGGAAGGCCAACCACCACCCCACAGAGGATTTCCCCCTCCAGTCACAATTTCAATGTACCACCTACCCCACTGCACCCAAGTTCACAGCAGGAAATTTAAAAGAATATAGGTTTGAGGGAATAGAGTCTGGCCCAAGCCTGGACCCATCACTGAGGTAAAAACTGTTTCTTCTTAAAAATGAACAAGAACAAAAATTTATTTGGGAAGACACGTAACTTGAGATAAATGTTAACAGTGGTGTTGAACTAACTCCGTCTCCCCCACCTCACAGTGGTGTTGAACTAACTCCCCAACTCCCCCAGTACATGGCCTGTCGGTGGATTCAGAGCACTGCTCTGCCTGTTCCCGGGCACATTGCTATGTTCTGTCTGATACAGGTGGGCAGCAGCAACAGAACAAAATTTGAGTCCAGTGTTGCCCCTTTAAGACCAACAGTTTAGTTCTAGATATAAGCTTTGGTGTACGTGCATACTCTTTCTGTCTGTTTCACTCACCGTACGTATTATGTCTCCTTCAAGGGGCATATGTCGGCCGCCGACAAAGCGCCGATCCCCTTCGCCTCAGCACAGTGGCTGTCTCGTGTTCTTTCAGGTCACGCCCCGGGTCTCTGGGTAGAGCTCCCCCATCAGCTCCAGCATGGAGCTTTTCAGTGGGATCATCAGACCTTCATCTGAGAGTCCAGGAATCAGGTGTTGCGTCTGTGGGGGGGGGGACCAGTCTTTAGTTGGTTAACATTCTGAAAACCTTGTCCTGCATTCCAACAACCTGGTTAAAAGAAATGCAGTGGAATGACAAGTGGCTGTTTCTTACCAGATCCCTGATTCTGTGGCCCCTCTTCTCACTTTTGGTATGCGAAGCATCCAAAGGTGAAATGCACAGCCTAGAACTGTTTACAAAGGTTTGTCCCTGTTGAACAGTCCGCCCTGGACTTTACCCACTAATTCCACAGCAAGCAGCTCCGGCCTCTTCAATCGACGGAAGTCCTGAGCCAGGAAAAGTCAGTGCCTGGTGCAAAAAGCAAACTGAAAAAAATGAGTGCTTCGGCTTGGTGGATGAGGCTTGCTTTGGAAGGGATTGCTTTTCGTCTCTGTGTTGCACCTTGCACGTGATGAAAAGAATCAGACCACTTAACAGTGGTAATTATGTCTTGGAAACAAAGGGGGCAGTGTTCCAGTACATTTTTATGTATTAATTGAATCACGATGATTAACTTTGACTTTTGTGGCTGCTAATGTTGCAAGCTTCAGTGGCCGTGGGAAATGTGGTACAAATCTAATTTTGTTTCCTATTTTTTTTTAAAAAAAATTGACCTTTGAATTGAATCATAGTGCTGTCCTGTGTCCTAGGTTATTTTAAGCTCCATGATAAAGGAGTGCGAACAAAAGGTGGAAAATCGGTGTGTCCAGGAACCACAAGGGTAAGGCATTTTACTTTTCAGAAAGAGTTGGTGTCTGTCTTTCTGTGGACACTGGCAGTAGAGTGAAAACATTCTCAGGATTTCCAGCCCCTGAAAGTACACAGAGTCATGTTATTTCTATGTTGACTTCAGGTGTTAGGAAGATACTTTTAGATGGGGAAGATTTTATAGGAAAACATGGATATTTCCCAGGCTTTGGAGTAATAGGGCCTTCAAGGAAGCAATAGATCTTCTTCGTGGTCATCTGTGCATTCACACCAATGGGATCTAGTGCGCCTGCGCTGGATCTGCATTGGTGTGAATGCACAGATGACCACGAAGAAGATCACCAGTTACTGGTAAGCAACCTGTTTATCTTCTTCGTGGTCTCTGTGCTTCACACCAATGGGATCTGTGCTTCACACCAATGGGATCTAGTGCGTCTGTGCTGGATCTGCTGATCCAGCGCAGGCGCACTAGATCCCATTGGTGTGAATGCACAGATGACCACGAAGAAGATCACCAGTTACTGGTAAGCAACCTGTTTTTCATATGTAAAAGTTAGTGCATGGCAGCGTACCACAACCACAAAGGGTCCAAGAGGGAGGTAGCCATTTTGCTTTGGTGCTGGCGATGTGATTGGCTGAAAGGTAACTTGGAAATAAGCTGTTTCAAGACAAATGACAGCCAAATGGGCAAGAAATGTAGAAGGCTATTGTGGAGCATAATATTATAGAAAGTAAAAGTGTTAATGAAAAGCTGAACAACAAAAGAACCCTCGGACATTGTCCTGAGGGATCAAGTCTGGGTTAGGACAGAGAGGAAGATCACATTGGGCAGTAATTAGCTGCTGGAGCTTGAGGGTGCCAAGAGTGTGTTTCTTTCCTAAAGAAAGTCTTCCGAATATTGGGTCTTGCCTTAGCTTGTAGTTGGAGTCTTAGGGGGACAGGCCGATGAAGTCCCGATATCGTAGCCAAGTACACTCAAGCCAGAATAATGCATCCTTGGCCCCTCTGCAAGAGCACTGGACAATCAGCTGGCTTCTTTCTAGGGTGCTCTGACTAGATCAGGTCATCACAACAAACTGCCATGCATTGTTGTTAAAGCATTTGTCCCAGGTTTTCAGAGCTGGTTGACTGCGGCTGCAGGTTCTTGTGCACACATATGTAGGGGTAAATCTCACTTTACTCAGTGGGACTTGCTTCCAAGTAAATAGGGATGGGCACAATCTGGCTCACCAACCCGGGCCAAACTCGGGCTTGTTTGGAGCTCGGGAACCAAGACTTGGGGAAGGTGCCTTCCCCAAACATTTAGTGGACTTTTGGCCAGTTCAGTTCAGCTGTTCAGGGGCAGCCATTTAAATTTACCAGCTGAGCAACGGACTCCCCTCAGCTGTTAGGTTTAAACAGCTGCCAGTCATTCAACCGTTAGATTTTGCTCCCCACTGCCTTTCCGGGCAGTCCCCACCCCTTCTCCCAGCCACTGCAAGCCGTGGCCAGGAGAAAGGGGGAAAGGAAGTCCCTTTCCCGTGCAATTCCCCCATCCTCTCCTGGCCCAGGCAAGCCACAGCTGGAAGAAAGGGGGAAAGGAAGACCCTTTCAGGGTGGTCCCTGCCCCCTTTCTCCTAGCCACTGCAAGCCGCAGCTAGGAGAAAGGGGGAATGGAACTTGCTGGAACAGTTTGGTTCAGGTAGGACCTGTCTGAATCGGTTCAGGGTTTGGTTCGTGAGCCATCCCAACCCCCAAACCGAGCTACCTTTTTTAGGTTCATGCTCATCCCTACAAGTAAACATGCATGGATAAGGCTATGTGGAAAAGAGCCTTCAGTAACTGCGGTTCTTCACAGGACCTTCTCTTTTTTGGCTTCTCTTTTGCATGTCTGTGTTTCCACATAGATTTTTATAGACCATTTTTTCCCCAGTACTGTCATACATTCAAGTATGATCCTTCAGCATTGAAGTAAGATTGAAGATGTTGTGTTTTATTGCTAACTAGGAAAAAGGCCTGTTGTGGAAATAAATACAACGGCCTCTAGAAAGAGGCTCTCGGCGGGTGCCCCAGCCTTGGACACTCAGTGTCAATTTGCTGTGGCGACTCAGCAGGGTATAATGACACTGAGTCCACCATTTTTTCCAGAGGAACTGATCTCTGCTACCTAAAGAACAGTTGTAATTTTGAGTGATCTCCAGCCCTCACCTGGAGATTGGCAATGATGGTTCCCCAGAAGGGAATGGTTGGTTTGAAGGGTGGAAACTATGGCTTTGTAGCTGTCCGAGATCCCACGCCTCCTGAAACCTCACCCTTTCCAGGCTCTCCAGGAATTCCCCACCTGGAGTTGGCACCCTTATCTCCTCCCCAGCCAGTCATCAACCTACCTTTATTTCCCCCTCACTCTTCAGCTTTCCCCCCCCACACACACCTGCAGCCTCTCCCGTGCTCTGAAGCCCTGACTGTTACGTCACATTGGCTGCCATACGGGGGCCACCCCAGCAGCATATAAGGATACAGAGCCCACCATTTTCTCCAGAGGAACTGATCTGTGCCATCTGGAAAGCAGTTGTAATTCTGAGTGATCTCCAGCCCTCACCTGGAGATTGGACACATTTTACCTCAGAACAGCAAACTGTTTCGAATGTTAGAGGCAAAAGCCAATCAAGTCGCATATTCAAATGACCTCTGTGTTCCGAGACAAAGGCCAATGATGCTGCATATGCAAATAACCTCTGTGTTCTGACTGGCTATAGGAGGGAGAGGAACAGCAAACTGTTTAGAATGTTGGAGGCGAGACTCAAGCAATGCAGCCAGTGGATAGGGACAGATTCTGGGTGACACACCAGGGCGCCAACCAATTCCGGAGCGTGTGGAATGTTCTAGAGAAGTGCCACCACCATTCGGCTTTTATATATAAGGGAGATTAGCACTTTCCAGCCATCTCAAAGCAAGCATTCCAGCTGAAATTTTAGCTACCTCTGGTAAAACAGGGCACTGGAGCACAAAGCCACACTGAGCTGGGTTCTCGTTTTACCTCCTAACTTTCTAGTAACTTTTTGGTGACCTGAAGCTGCCTTGAACAGCATTGGACAATTGGTCCATCTGGCCTAGCACAATTTACTTTTCCAGAGAGCTTGGAAAGCTGTTGCCAGTGTAAGGTCTTTCCCAGACCGTCTCCCTAAGAACATGTCACTGGAGATTCTGGGGCTAATTTATTTTCCCTTCCTCTTAGCTCCATGTCAATTGCCGCAAGCCTGGTGAGTGAAGACACAAAGACCAAGTTTCTAAACAAAATGGGCCAGTTGACCACATCAGGTGCCATGCTGGCGAACGTATTCCAGAGGAAGAAGTAAATTGGAGAAGGAAGTCCTTGTAAAACACATGAGAGACCTCACTGAGACTGGCTCCTCGTACTTGAAGTACTTGCCTTTTTATTTCCCTGTCTTACGTTCTTGTAGTATAATTTGACTCTGACCTACAAAGATATTTGCACTGCTCTTGAATATCGCTGTGTATCTGTTAACTTTTGGTTAAATGTGGTTGATTATAAAACTAAATTAAGTCTGTATTAAGTCCCTGTCCTGTGTTCTTGTCTTTCCGGCATAATTTTTTATATATATATATATTATATATATATAGTGAAGATTTTTTATTTCCTGATGGGTTCCTGGCTGATATCTGTATTATAAATGAAGCTATTATGATGGTACTTAAAATAATGTAAATTTGAAGTTGCTGTCATGAAGTAATAAAAGTGGAGATTACTTATGTATTTAAGTTACGAGAGAGTTAATGCAGAATTTTTTTCAACATTTCTAAAATGAAAGGCAAGAGTCACCAGTGCTCGCTCATCCCATCCCAAGGTTTGTTGGGGGGAGGGGTTGTAAGTATATTGTATATTTTTTAATCTCAAGATGGGAGAAAACTATGTAAAACATTACTACTTGCACGACGTGGTCCTCATGTGTGTGGACTCTAATCTGAGAGAACCGGGTTTGATTCCCCACTCCTCCACTTGCACTGGGCTGGATGACCTTGGGCAAGCATAGTTCTGGCATAGCTGTTCTTGAAAAAGAGCAGTTTCTGTCAGAGCTCTCTCAGCCCCACCTACCTCACAGGGTGTCTGTTGGGGGGAGGGGAAGGAGTGTGTAAGCCGCTCTGAGAAACCTTTCGGTAGTGAAGGGCGGGGTATAAATCCAATCTCTTCTCTTCTCTTGGGAGACCAGATGATCACAAAAGTGATGGATAGACCAGATGTGATAGATGTGCCTCTCACATGCATTGGCATTCTTAATGTATGTTAAGCAGCTTGGTATTAGCCTTCCTGATAGAAATTACGTCCCAGTTAGCACATCTTAAAATGCAGTCCTAACCAAGCTTACTTGGAACAAAGTCACACCAGCTTCAATGGTGGTTAAGATGCTGAACTGCAGGCTATGGAAGGTCGGTAGTTCAGCGGTTCAAGACCCAAGTGTGCCGCATGGCGGAGTGGGCTCCCGTCTCTAGTTCCAGCTTCTGCCAACCTAGCAGTTCGAAAGCAAGAAATTGCAAGTAGGTAAATAGGTACCACTTCAGTGGGAAGGGAACAGCGTTCCGTGCGCCTTGGTGTTTAGTCATGCCGGCCACATGAACATGGAAACGTCTTCGGACAGCGCTGGCTCTTCGGCTTGGAAACGGATATGAGCACCGCAACCTTAGAGTCGGATTCGACTGGCTTTCGAGGAAGGGAACCTTTACCTTAAGGATACTTAATATTGCTGCCTTGGTGCTGATTTCAAGATACGGTGGTGGTGCCACGCAGAATCCGTGCAGATGTTACACATCACCAGGGCTATGTTCGAAAGGTTAAGGCTCTTAAGGAAACCGTATTTGCAACACTCTCCCCTTTGGCCAGAGGTCACAGATGTGCAACCACGGCGGGTACCTGGGCCGTCACATGGGGTAAGCACCTCTTTGAATGGGATGCCAGAGATAAGGGTTTTGCCCTTGGTCGCCCTCCTTTTTAAATCAGGCCTTGGTCCTGCAGGGCTTTGTAGGGATTGCAGTGCAGGGGGCTGAATGAGTGTGTTGTATTCGACCCTCACTGCACAGCACCACAGTGATCAAGAGCAATGATTTGTTTAGCTCTCAGCACAGCCTCAGTGTAAGTAATGAAATTATGAATGCTATATCACCTATTCCTAACAAGTAGTAGTCTCCCCAGTGTGCTCATGTTTGTTTGGAAAACAAATGGCACAAACACTACCATTGGTCTGGGGCAAGGGATGCAGTGTATTTTTGGTGCTTGGGGCACCAGTGGGAGGGCTTCTAGTGTCCCGGCCCCACTGCTGGACCTCCTGAGGGCACCTGGTGTTTTTGGCCACTGTGTGACAGAGTGTTGGACTGGATGGGCCATTGGCCTGATCCCACATGGGCTTCTCTTATGCCCTTATGTTCTTATCAAATCAGTGCTGATTTCTGTAAGCACTTTTCCCCCCCGTACAAAATCCTTTGCCTTTCCTCACAACTCTCTTGTGAAAGAAGTCAGGTCTTGTCTAGGGTCAATCCCAGTCCGGTCGGATTCAGTGTTACTCCCAAGCCAGTTGACTTTAGTGGTCTTAAGAGGGGAGTCGCTCTGCATTACAAATGCACTCTTGGCTTCATAACTAGGGGCGGGGTCTGTCCCTGGGCCCCATTGTCCAAAGTAAATTTGATCTCTAGTCCTTTTAGCAAGTACTAACAAGAAGGCTTTTACAGACTTCTGCTGAAATACGTCCACGTGCTTTGTCCACGCAGGCAGCTTCACAGAAAAACGCAGGCATAGAAATGAATATTCCATTCAGGTATCACAGCTGCAGTGGCTCAAGGCGCTAAGACGTAAGACGCTGAACTGCAGGCTGTCGAAGGTCGGTAGTTCAGCAGTTCGAGGCCCGAGTGTGCCGCATGACGTCTCTAGTTCCAGCTCCTGCCAACCTAACAGTTCGAAAACAAGAAATTGCAAGTAGATAAATAGGTACCCCTTCGGTGGGAAGGGAACAGCGTTCCATGCGCTTTGGTGTCTAGTCATGCCGGCCACATGACCACGGAAAAGTCTTCGGACAGCGCTGGCTCTTCGGCTTGGAAACGGAGATGAGCACCGCAACCCTAGAGTCGGATTCAACTGGCTTTCGAGCAAGGGGACCTTTACTTTCTATCACAGTATTATGTAAACACCAGTGCCAGGGAGTCCTGGAAGGTACACAAGCCTGAGGCACTCTGGATGACAGGGTTCTTTATCCCACTGTGACTTTTTTTAAAAAGTCAATACTTGTCATGAGTGAGCAAAGACAATCGAACTAGTGTTCCAATTCAAAGGGACGACGACTGGTCTCACTCTTTAGGGAGCACGGTGTCAAAAGACCTTGCCACACTTCTGGGAGCTCTGTAGAGGATGGGCCAGGGGTGTATGGAGAACAGTCGATGCGAAAAGGTTGAGACCGACACAGGTTACTTCGATACCAGTGCACACTATGGGCAACGGAAACGAATTGGGCGTCCTGTTTAGGCCTCCCTAAACAGCGCTGCACCAGGCTGTGGCTCATGCACTAATACTGTGTTTTCCATTGCCCGTTGTAGGTTGGATCCTACCAGCTTTTCATAGAGATGCCAGCTTCCAGGCGGGACCTGGGGGATCCCTCAGAATTACCGCTCATCCCCAGACTCCAGAGATCAGTTCCCTTGCAGAGAAGGGCTGCTTTGGAGGGTGCACTCTATGGCACTGGATCCCACTGAGGTCCCTGTCCACCCCGAGCTCCATCCACAAATTTCCAACCCTACCTTAGAGGGAACACTGCCCCCCTTCCCCCCGGATCCCTTGCCTGCAGCCAGGGGAGGATCTGGCAAACCCGATCAGGTGCAAGCAGGAGGAAGGGTGACCTTGTCAAATTCCCCTTTCTCTCTAGGTATCCCTGTCTACCATGGCTTTGGGGCGACGTGGATCCTATGTGTCCTAAAGAAGCCTTTTTGTGGGAGTGGTCAAAAAAGGTTTCCCTCTGTTGTGTTTCAGTGGGGAAAGCTGGTAGAATCCAACCTCATATCTGTATTGTTCTACAAACATCATTTTTGTTCAAGGTGACAAATGGGGTGGGGTTCCCGTGCCCTCTGCAGCCGACGGCTCTAGTTGTGTGGCAGATATATTTCTTAGCAGACTGGTTATGAAATGCTGGAGGCATTCCTCAGGAACTGGAAGCGGCTACGTCTCTTGTCCTTTCTCGAGTTAAATAAAATGTTTTGCATACCTGATTTGTATGTTTATTTTAAAACGTCTTAAGTGATCCCCTTTTAATTTTTTCTTGGCTTCTCAGCTGACGCTGGGCCTGGTGCCTCGCTTTTTGTGTAGCCCAGCCCCTTGAACATATGGTTATTTCAGTCATTTTTTTTTTTAATTACTCAACCTGTCCTTGGAACCCTTTGTGGGCGGGACGTGCCCTATCAAGGGCAGTCTTCCACAGAGACCACCACATGCAACTCCCGAGCTACTGAGACTCACGGCTTCAGAGAGTCTGTCCAGAGGAGAAGAGTTAGATTGGAGTCCAGCAGCACCTTAGAAACCGACAAGAGTTTCGGGGGCGTAAAAGTGTTCAAGGGCCCAGGCTCCCTTCATCAGACACGAATGGGTAAGAAAGAGCTGAGGTGTCAAACTCATTTATTTCTCTTTTTTTTTAAGAAATTATTTTTAAAGAGAAAACAAACATGTAGGAGGGAAAAAAAAAGAAAAATTTTGGTTTTAGAGAGGAAAAAAATGAATTAGAAACTATTTGGGAGGCTGGAGGGGGGAAAATGGTCTCTAAAATGTATAAAAGTTTGTTGAAATGGTATACGGAAGACGAAACTAAAAGAACAAATGATAAAATGGGCAATTAACATGAATAAGGAAGTAACAATAGATTCGTGGAAATATTTGTGGAAAAATTCTATTAAGATATCGGCGTGTACCAATATAAGAGAGAACTGTTATAAAATGATGTATAGATGGTACATGACGCCTAAGAAAATAGCAAATATGAACCAG